GCTCCATGATGATGCATGCCACTTCGAAAGTTATGTCAAGAAGTATGAGTGTGAAGGCTTTGAGAACATCAAGTACTACATGGTTGATTGCTTCCACATGAAAAACCATCGTTGCTCCAAATCAACTTGGACCCCCAAGGAAAAGAAACGTGCCAAGAATGTCCGCACCAGCATGTCTGAGACCTTCAATGCCTGGATTCGACCATTGAATTTCTTTCTCAATAGTCTGCGCCCGCATTCTCACAAATTTTGGGTGGAGGAAGCAATTCTCTTCCATAACCAATATGCTCAGCCCTTGTCATCTATCTTGTCATCTAGGAAGAATGCAAAGTCTCGTTCCATGCGTCCCAAGTAAAACTTGGCATTGTATATCACACAATTTTGTAAAGTCTTAGCTGACTTTGTTGAAAGCAATGCGTGTCAAAATCAAACCAACTTCCTAATTAAGATCACTTCAAGAACTAGTCAGTTTAGGATTAATCCAGATTAATCCTTAGTCATGTTATATCTTGGTGCCTTCACTAACATCTATGTCTCATGCTCTGCAGGCAGCAAACATGATGTGCTGTATAAAAAGGGCAGCTTGCATGACAAATTTTGGCGCTCACAACACCCCCCTCCCTATATAAAATATATTGTATTCAAACACAATGTACTGTAATAAATCATATTACGTGCATATACAAGCACAAGCATGATATAACATTATATAATACATAGCAATATTGTTTATATGTTCTACTACAATATCTTCGTAGGATATATAAACATGATTTTGTCTTATTTAGATGTATACTAGGTATTGTAATTATGTATGTGCTCTGTGTTTGATGCTATGTATTTATACAAAAATGATATATATATATATATATAGATATTAAAACAATTAATGTAAAATATGTATAGATATACTTGATTTAATATGATAGAACATATTAGTAATGTTGGGCGCTGGTTAGTGTAGGGCCCCCCGAAACAAATTTAGTACCTTCAATAACTCGCCAATTTTCTGGCGACCAGGTCTGGGGGACTCAAGATGATCAACTTAAGTAAGGGTTTCAATTGAAATCCATCTACTTTTCATTGATTTTCCTTTCGAGCCTCAAAGAAATCTATTGATAAGAAAGAATTTCAATTGAACTCAATTTACTTTCAATATATTTGAATCTACTTTCAACTGTCATTTGTTTATATCTAAAAAACAATCACCCCAAAAGTTTTGTGCACAATAGGGTACCATTCAAACAATTACATTATTGAGGATCTCGGTCACTCATGGGGCACCCCTCTTGAAAAATTGTTTGGGTGCTGTGTTTTCAAAAGTCTTTAATAAGGCATCTAATTGTTTGGGAAACCTTGCATTTTCAAGGCTTCAACATGGATATGGTTTTCCAAAGTAAATGGACCAGCTTTACCTAACGAAAGGTGCATAAAGGTGGATAAAGCTCATCCTGAAAAAAAATGATCTGATAAAAAACTTCTGACAATAGAGCACCACCCCAGACAAACGGCAAGATACTCAATTGGTCAGGGCAAAAACTCACAATAGGGAACCAGGACATTAATCGGAACCCAACATTAAATATATATGCATATTGAGTACACATTTATTTATAATAATATATGTTTACATAGTGTATAAGCTAACCAGTTTTGCAATACGCATTCAATGTTTACATGTGAATATATATGTATATACTTAATATACATAAACATAGGTAATGCAATTCTCACATGCTCATAATATATAAGAACAAACAGAACTGCGAACATATGATAGTTATCGTGTGTATATATATATATACACATGTCAAGCTCAAACCATTTTGAAGACTTCAAACAATCTCGAAAACCTTTTCACTGCGTGGATGCAACGGACATCTGACAAATACATAGAGTTGCTAAACCCCCAACGAAATGAAACGGATGTTATCCTGCCCTTGTGGGTTCTATCCACATCATTGTCCTCATGTGTCAAAGCTGTTGAACCCATTTTTGGGCGGGGCATGAGGAATTGTCATGGTCTTGTATTTACGTATTTGTGTTTGGTTCTTATATTATCGCAGGGTTTCTAACTCCCTTTGGAAGATGAATGTATAATTGAACACTGACCATCTTTGGGTTTGATATCAGCACGATGGTGTTGGAGAATTAGTGTTGGATGTAGGGGATGATTCCGCCCATTTGTTTGGACCTACCACCCTTGTGCGGTTCTTGTCCAGCTGCTTTTGCGTCGCAAAGAAGCATGCCACTTGCAGCGGCCGGTGTTTGTATCTGCGACAGGGGTCAATACGACAGAAACGGTCATGGTGGGGATTGGGTAGATGTGGCATCCAAGATACATTTGAAGTATCCTTGAAAATTGCACCCATGTGGTTTCACAAGACGAGCCCACCACTAGTCGGAATCCTTATGAATCGAACCAGTTGACCAGTTCACCGGATTTTGTTCATCTCCCATTGGGTCTGTTGTTTGATGGACAAGGGTGAATTCCCATGGTTATTTTTGGTGGTCACACCACAGTCCCAAGGTTTTGATCCATAGATTTCCAATTGATTTATGACAAGATCTCCAACACAGATCCACTTTCGCCGGCGACCTAAAACGAAAAAGCGGGAGCCATGCACAAGTCATAGAGGCGTAGCACAGTGCCTGACAAGGCTGGCTTCAGGGAACCGCCCGCTGATCATTTCGGACCCTAGGTTTGTCTGGAGATAGGGAATAGCTACAAAAGTTGTATATTAGAAGGATTTCAAGATAGAAGAGTTTGTTTTTCCTTCCAACTTTATGTTTGGACGGGTTCAATGCATATGATTCCACTTGTAGATTTAAATAGGAAAACTATATAACAATTATGATATATGATAATCCGTTTGAATTGGGTGTAGTTATTTTCAGACAGATCCATATATCAATGGATTGCTTTAAGAAAAAACTGATGGTTTGTACAATCCACCGCGGAGGTTTCCTGCAAATGTTCCCTAAAAAAACATTGGAAGAACTCGCCCTGTGGTGCGGCAACGCAGCTGAACAAAGAGCTGAATGTTCAACCGTTCAGCATTTCTGTAAATGAGCACTTGCTCTGCCTGGTTGACCAGTCGAAACGGGGAAATTGCCCATACAAGTTTGCCTGGAAATAATGAAACTGTTTTTTTGAAATCTGAAGTTTGACCCCACTAAAGTAAACCCAAATTGCTTGAGTTGATCATGTTTTTTTCCTGGACTAAAACCAGGAACACAATCTTGAAGCCATTGGTTTGACAGGACATCCAGCGTTCCAAGTGAGCTCATACTCGACAGATCACATTTGCGTGAACCAAGTCGCCGTGTCGGTGCTTTCCGATGCCAGAGTCCCTGCGTGGCAGTACCCTCGGCACGCCATGTTTGATTACAATAGAGTATCGAACTAACCCCAAAAATGGTAAAGTTGGTTTATCAAACCATCTACGTATAGATCAATGTGAACATCCCCATAAAATATGGCTTTATATATTGTACAGTACCTCCATTTTAGGATCCTGAAATTCCCATCTACCCATAGATCTACCATTTTTTCCCTAAGCTACTGACCTTCGAAAATGTGGCACCACCAACCGTAGATCCCATCAGTCGGAGGTTTGTTTCTTCGTGGGTCGTCAACTCATGGGTCGTCTTCGAGAGTTGGATCAGTCTGGGATGACGGGATGCTCCGGTTCACATAAATGTATATTTAGTATATTAGTATAATATATTTACTCTATATATATACTATATATATATATATATCTGGTTGGTGGTGACTGGAACCATGGAACCATGGACTTTGATGACTTTCCATTCAGTTGGGAATAGTTTTTCGCCCAACTGACGAAAGTATGTATTTATCAGAGGGGTAGGTACACCACCAACCAATAATCCTAACTAGTCTTTTGGTATCAATGGGATTACCTAATTACTAAACAGATCTAAACAGCTAAGAATTGGTCATTTTATGCAGAGATGTGCAGGGTGTCTAAGATTGGCCATGCTTGGAATACACCTGGGAGTTATGGGAGTACCATGGTAAGGATGTGGTCGCTGACAGCACACACACACACACACACCATCACGTTTTGTTTGAGATCAATGTGGCATGGTTACGGAATTACATGGCAAATATTTCAGGGCGTGACCATGTTTGGCCCTCAAGATCTTGGTTTTGTTTGATATCACCGGGTAGCTATGTATAACTATGTTAGGTATGACTTCAGCACGTCAATTCCAATCAAATCAGTATCCTGATGCAGGTTTTGCCCAGTCAGCATGGTATTTGTGTTGAATCTGTTCCACTTGGTGAGATGGGTCGCGCAAAATCATTGCAGCAAAAGTCTGCTGATCGGCACAATCTGCTGCAGAAGCATAGACCGGCTCCCCCGGTGTTCGAAAAGAACCCACGGCGTGCGAATGCTCCTCGATGGTTGAGGTAAGAATGGATCCACACAGGTCATCCATGTCATTGTCCAAGAGTTCTAAGTAGGATTTTAATACATTTTGTTACGACAAATACCGCTATTTTTAAAACCTTCACTTAAAATTTCCACTCAAACCCAAGGATCTTAACCCAGCTTTCAGCTGCAAAGAAGGTATCACCAGTATGTTGTTTTCTGGTATCCATGTCGGATATAGATTGGGAGAGACAAACAAAGGGAAACAATAATCTGAGATGTGACCAAGGGTTTTGTGATGTAGATGTATGTGAATTATATACTAGGGTAGCATCGTGGATCAAACTAGGGTATACCAGGGTTTGTTGTTGTTTCAAACTCAGTGGGGCAACTGGGGAGGATGCATGAGAAGCGGTGGATGATGGAACCCCAAATCTGGAAAGGTTTTGCAGTGGGCATTGGCAAAACAAATGTATTTTTGGTTTATATCCCACAATTCCAGAATTGTTTCTCATTGACTTTCAACAAATGGCTACAATTTTGGCTGCCAATTGTCTTATTAATAGGGACCTTCAAACCTTTGACTCATCTGCAGCTTGTTTTCTTCCAGCTGTTGCCGTGTTTGACCGGTGAATTTCCATGGCGCATCGCCGCGTGCTGTGGCTGAGCCTGGCATGCTGGGCCTGGTGGACCTGGACCTGGAGCTTCTGCGGCATCCGGCACCGAGGAGCAGCCTGTGGAAACCACGCGCTGCCACCTGGGAAGGCGAAGTTTCTCGGACTGGACTTGTTGGGGAAAATGGATGGACTTCAGTGGTACCCAATTTTTTCAGACAAATCGGGATATACCCCTGGTAATGTCTAACAGTTTGCTATTGAAAATGGCCCATTTACAGTTGATGTACACATTAAAAATAGTGATTTTCGATAGTTATGTTAGTTTACCAGAGGGTAAATGTATGAATTCTGTATATGAATATAGAGTTATATAAGTAGTCTATTGAATTTGATGCTGTGTATATGTTCTGGTCTCGCTGCAATTTCCACTGTGCATCCCAGACTTCCGATCTTCGGAGACACTTTGGAAATTTTGAACCCGAAGAAGATGGTGACCTATCAGTCTCCTGGCGGCACAGCTGAGGATCATGGATTGAACGGATCCTAGATGATCCCAAGGATCAACGTCCAATGGGTTTTTGCACATCCCACAGATTCGTAGAAAGATCTAGAACATGTTTGTTTGAGTAGTTTAAAAGTGAGTTGTGGGATTCTACATCTCATATAATTATTGAGGAATGTTGCACTGCAGCACCAACTGCCCAGCATAGTTTCGGGATGGGTTGCAACTACTCAACTGACGAAATAGGAAGCGTTGATGAGTGGCAAATTGTTCATTTGATTCTGAACCCAATCAGTGCATGAATATTTCTCCAAAAAACTCATATTTGTGGGCGAGCCAAAACTCATGTACTTAACAATGGTTCAATGTCATATTTCCAAGACCGGAACTTGTGTAGCCTAAGAAAGGGATAGACAATGATGGATGGTTATATAACTGTTGAGTTTGATAGTTTGATCTGATGGGATTTTTTAACAGCCAAGTTTGTGTTTGCAACTCACATACCTAGATGTTTTCTTTATTTATCTGGTTGGTGGCTTGGAACATTTTTTATTTTTCCATATATTGGGAATAATCATCCCAACTGACTTTCATATTTTTCAGAGGGGTTGAAACTACCAACCAGTTATGGGTTTTACAATTTATACCCCACATAAAGAATTTAGTTTCCCCCCAGCATCGCAACCAGATGTTCCGTTTCAAGGACGGAGCGCCGCCAGCGTTGGGGCTCCCTGTGGAGCACCTCGGTGTTGTTCAAAAAGGCCGTGGTCATCACGGGGCAACGGGAGATGAATCTGGCGCGGAAGCACGACGCTTGGGGCAAGCTGAGCTGGTACTGGTTGGTACTGACGAACAGTTTGCGAACTGGAAAATGGCCATAGAAATAGTGGGTTGATCCATGAATCATGGTGGATCTTTCCATAGTTTTTTGTATGTTTACTAGAGGCTACTTGGGGGCTCATCCCACGAATCGTAAGTAGGTGAGTTCACCCTAGTCATAAGTAGATTAACCCTGTATGTATCTAACTAACAAAAACCAAGAATATAATATACTCAGTAAGTGGGATGGGCCACCAGGTATAAAACCTATAGCATTTTATGGAATTCAATAGATGGCGTGAGGTAATCCCTTCTCCCTCTTACTAAACCGTCCCCGGTTGATAATAAACACCTGGATGAGTTTTTAGTATTAGGGGGTATTTAGTATTAGGGTGCGAAGCTTCCCCGTATATATATATATACATATATTAAATTAAATTAAACATCTTAATAAAATACTAAAAACTAAAAACAACTTGTTCAAAATGAACTAAATGTCCTGTTTACATCTAATTAAAGTATTGTCCGAAAAATTGGTTTTCAAAATATTCCGAAGCTGTCCCCTAATATTAAACTAAAAGCCGCTTAATATAAAACTAAAACTGACCATGTCAAAATCGACTAAATTTCCTTTGAAAACCCAATTAAAATATTGCCAAAAATTGGATTTCGAAGCTTTTCCCTAATATTAAAACAAACACATCAATATATTTTTTTTCGATCTTAAAAGACGGACCCTAATAAAAGAACACCCCGGGGTTGACTACTTTTTACTATTAGGGGGTGAAATCCTCAAATGGGACCTTCATTTTTAATTTGTTTTCAACAGGGGATCAATTAAAAATCTAATTGGCCAGTCTGAAATCTCCCAAACATTTAGTGTGGACTGTGGACCCTATAGTTTTTAGTATTTGGGGTACGTTTAGTAAAAGGGCCTAGGGATTATAAAACATTATGATACCAACCATTTTATAAATGTGTTTCATTATTTTTTGTTGTGATTTATTCCCGACGTATTGGGGGTGTAAATGGGACATATCGATACAGACAAAAAACGAACCCAAATTTGGGATCCCAGCAACAAGCATGCGGATATAATAGTGATATAACGGGTTGACATCGTCAATCTAGTATGATTTAGGTTGGTTTGAAGGTTGATCTACCCCCAATTTATCACGCATTCCAATAGGAAAACATGAGATTGACCGACGGATTTTGGTGTACACAACCAAGACACAATGGCTACAGTTCACCCTCTGGAGCTGGCTTTGTAGATTGCTTCTGTGGCGAACTGCTTGGTGTACTGCCCATTTTGCTTTTATCTACTTGGCTTAGCCCTGATATTGGCCGTCAAAATCCCAAGTACTGGCCGTAGCTAGAAATGCATGCTTGTTTTCCCCAAATCTTGACACACAAGGAATCACAATGACTTGTTCATCCAATTTTCAATCTGCCAAACAGTTCAGATATTTCAGATATCGGCGTGCTGCACGGTTCTTCGCCACCTTCGCGGCCACAAAAGGTACTCGATTTCACCAAGTCGTAGGATTTGAAGCCATACGTCAGTACCCCGATGTTAGGGCTGAAAATGATTTTTTAATAGCATGTTTTAGTCTTCGATTTATCACATGTATGAAGGTGTATGAACATATATATATATATATCTTCCTATCTATGATCCTGCTTGACATGTGCCCCTTTTTTCGGTGAAATGGTTCAAGCCCCAGGGAATACCTTGTCATGGGGATTCAACCTCTCACAAAGGTAACCCCTCATCATCCCAGGGGAAGTGGTGAACGTGTTACATCACGTCACCGTGGGATCCTCCCCTCGGGATCCCCGACCTCAGGAGAGTCGGCCAAGAGCGTTCGAGGCGTTTTTTCCGCCGCACCACCAGAGGCTCTTCGGCCCCTTGGAGATGTGACCGGTGACGATCTTGGTGGCAACCCCACGTCTGAAAAAAGGGCACTATCTCAGGGGATTTACACTTCCGAAAACGATCATTTTTATGAGGTGCAAAAGAATGGTCATATATTTTGAAGCTCGGAGAAGGCTTCGAAAGCTACAAAGATTATTCCATGTTGTTGGGCCCAGGGTGTATTTCTAAATAGGGGCGGCACAAAAGAGTGGGACGGACATACCATTGGATCATCATAAGACCAGTTCCTGGGTTTCCTGCCCCCAATTTGGATTGAGGACTTGGCCCTCCAGAATTCGACATCCCAACAAAATAAACCAATACTGTATCTGATGTATCTGGTTGGTGGTCTTAAACATTGGATGATCCCCAAGTGATAAACGATGGATTTTTCACAGGGGTTTCAAGATGTTTCAAGGGGGTGGCTGCAACCACCAATCTGATAAACAAACACAATTTCATCCAGAAAAATCATCTTCCCCAGCCATTTTTTGGGTAAACCCACGACCAAGGTAAGATGTCGTTGTTGGTGCAGAGTGGTGCGGCACATGCCAGACTCAGGAGGCTCATCCAGAGTGCTATGACGCCCAAGAAGGTGGACACTTAGCGCCGCAGTGGGAACAAAAGCCTGGTTGGTTGATGATTAGTTGGGGGATTGTGCTACCCAAATCATAATGTTGGTAAACCAATGTCATAAACCACCCATGTGGGAATGGTTTAAAGATGTTTAAAGCTATACCACCTATAAAAATTGTAACTTGGAGAATAAATTGTTATTGTTTTAACCACATTCGTGGGATATGGGGTATACCGGTCTATCCCCAGAAAAATGGCTTGCCGAAAAAATGATGATGAACCAGTGGATTTTTCGTGTTTTCCGATGTTCCATACAAAATATATGGGTATGGGTCAATACCTATAGATACATGTTTAGTGGGATGAACATCCATTTACCAGCTATTTTGGGGTTCACTAGGTACCAGGGTTTTGACCCATCCCCATATTTACACATACGTGTCTATGTATATTGCTTGTTATCCAGCTTTAAAGAATCCTGAGCATCTTTGGTTGGCCATGATTTGAAAGGTAAACACGTTGATTTGAAAGTACAATGTTCTAAAAAGGTTGAGGTGTCCCATTGTCAGGTTTGATTATCCGTTTTGCGCCGCTACGAAAAAAACAGGGTGGAACATGATTTGTGGGAGCTTGGAGATGATTGCATCTGTATGTACATTTGCTACAGTCACTTGCATTTGTTTTTCCACAAACCATGAAGGCTAGGAACATGAAAAAGCGGGCGGCCTCACAGGCATCTCACCAATCAATGGCGGAGTTCGTAGGAGTGATTTTCCAAAGAAACAGTGTGTCATGGAAAAGGATAGAATTTTCATGGTTTTTCCATGTTTGGTTTAGCCTCCCATCATTCATCCTCTTCTGCATCCGTGATTCAGAACATGCTGTGCTGTATTTGTTTTAGTAATCCATCATTGTCCATCAGTCTTCCATATGTGTTTCATCATGTTTCACAAAGTCCCATCATGTTTCATGGTCTGTCCAGTGTTCCATCATTTGTAAAAATCAAATTTCACCAGTTTCCCATCAATCTTTCACAATGGCAACCCATCATTTTCCGCTTGGCTCCCCGGGTTCCTTTCAGGAAAAATACCAAGCCTTCATCGACCTCGCGGTCCGAGACTTCCTAAGCTCCTGCCGAAGCGAGTTGGGCCACTTTTCGATGACCAAAAAACTGCAGGAGACCACCGTACCGCGGCCACCGTTCCTCGGGGTGGGGGATGTCAGCAACCCATGGCCCAAGTGATTTGGCCAAGCCTAGTGACTGGAGTCGTCCCTGAGCGTTATCCCATTTAAATCATTGAAATATGATTAGTATCCAGTTATAACAAGTGTGATGATCCTCAAAGTATGGCACAATGTGAGGCCCCCCAGTTGTGTTTGTTGGTTTATAAGCCCCAGTAGCTATAGTTATAAGTACCATAAACCATAGTTATTGGAGCTATGTTCACCAACTGAACGCTATCTTGGGGGCCTCACATTGTATATGACACCAAATTATAAACCACGATTGTTTCAAGAACATGCTGGGGTTTTACTCGCCGCCAGCCGCTGCATCACCTCGTGGCGACATCCCAGCGATGTATCGTCATAGGATTCTATCCCAAGACTTGTCGTAATAAGGAGTGGGTTAATCAACATTTGTGGCGATATGTATGTATGTATATATATATATATTAGATAGATCGCAGGGTATCTAAGATTGCATGGTAGTGGAAAAGATAGGGGGTTGGTGGGTCGGTGGGTTGGGGGGTTGGATTTTTTTCAGAGTAAGCATGCCTCGAAGCCCTAAGACCTTCTTTGGAGGGTTTTATATAACTGATTGGTGGTTTGGAGCATTTTAGATTTTCCCATATATTGGGAATAGTAGTCCCAACTGACAAATATTTTTCAGAGGGGTTGAAACCACCAACCAGTCATGAAATGGATTGAAATTCGGGATTTCGCCAATCAATCATGGCTGGCTGGGAGATTACTGAGATTAGCATCAGGAGAAGTTCATGCTGGAAAATGCATACGTCCATCTGGGATGAAATGGGGACGTGTTCAATACCAGCTTTGACTACTGGATGGAAGAACAGGCTATAACAGGCTTGGCTATTCGTGTGAGCCACTTCCGCATTCTTTGTTGCGGAAGCTCCAGAGGATTGCTTCCTGCCCACTACTACTGCAAGTATGTTGTGGGTGTCACTGGCGCATTTTCATTGTGGGTTTCCCTCTCATTGTTGCAGATTCCCCAACATCTCCTACTCATGAAAGATATCACCTGATTGGTCCGACATCCATTCAAATATACGACATATGATCATCAACATCAACCCTAGTTCTTGGAGTTGCTTTGGCAACTTAGCTAACGAACTGGGGCAGCACCTTACAACCATTCTCCCAGAAGGGGGCAACTGGCCAGTGATTTCGCTTGCTCAGTTGCGGATCGTAGTGCAAGTATTGCTGGGAGAAGATTTGGCTGAAGATGAGTTGGACTACCTGCGCACCAACCTTCGCACCTCGTCATTGGCACCAGCAATGGTTGTCACGCTCAACACGCAGCATATTGTATATGTTTGGTGTTGGAGGCATGTTCCAACCGAAGGTTAATGGTTCGTTCCAAATTTTATCTATTTTATTGCTTGTTTACACATATACATTATAATGTTGGACGCTGATTAGAGTCATGGTCCCCTATTGTGAGACATTTTTCAAAAATAAATCAGGATCCTGAAATTGAAGAGGGTGGGCCTCTATTGTGAGACTTTTTTCCATACCTTTTTTCTTAGGAAGGAAAAATAAGTAAAAAACACATTCTTTATGTGCACGCCTGTCCCTCCCAGCCCAAGCAGCAAGCACACCAACAACAACAAATGAATTGAAAGTACATTGATTTCAGTTGAATCCTTTCTTATCAATAGATTTCTTTGAGGTTTAAAATCAATTGAAAGTAGATTGGCATCAATTGAAATCCTTACTTGAGTTCCCCAGACCTCGTGCCCAAGAAAACTGCGAGTTATTGAGTAGACCTGAATTGTTTGGGGGTCGGCCCCTACGCTAATCAGAATCCAACATTACATACGTATATGCAAACTTACATGAAAGCACACTATGTCGTCACTTCCTTGCACCTTGGCGATCCTGCCTTCATGGGCCTTAAATCGCGCGTGAAACGCACCAAATGCACCTGGATTTCGGGAAGCTAGGAGACCCGAACTCTTAATAATCCCATGTTAGTAATGGTTAATCATGGTTGATAATGGTAAATACTGATTAAGAATGGATTCATGGTGATATATAATGGTCAATTGCCTTTGGAAATCAAACATGGTTTGCTGGACAATCCTCCAAGTGTAGATTGTAGATGATTTTCTCATTAAAACCTGCATTTACATGGGATTCCCAGCTAACCATGTTTGATGCCCAGATAGTATAGAGGTTGTATCCCAATTTTTAGGGGTCAAATGAGGTAAATTCATAATATATCTGCGCCCGAACAGATTTGGGGTCGGTTTGACGGTGTTTCTGCCAAGGAATTTGGGGAATTGGTCTGCTCTCTGCACCCCTGAATTTTATTCCATGGTCCGCCGCCGCACGTGCCATGCGTGCACGGGGCAATGTGCAGAAAGTTCTGGAGAAGTGGATCTCAGAAAGGTCAGAAAAGTTGGATGATACACTGCAGCTTGGCCAAAAAAGCAGCAGTCTATAAAATTTTATCTGTTTGTTGAGGGACCGAACAAAATCCAACTGGGAATAGAGGACGAAGTGCAACAGCCCCATCCAGGTGTCATTTCTTTTTGGCTACTTGGACTTTTTGTTGCTGTTTTTTGTTTTTCTTAATGTTGGCTATTGATTAGTGTGAGGGCCCCCCCCCTCCCTCAACAATTTACGTCTACTGAATAAACGACCAGTTTAGACGACCCCCCTCAACAATTTTTAGGATAGTCAACTCAAGTAAAGATTTCAATTGAAATCAATTTATGTTCAATTGATTTCAATTGGATCCGAGAAAAAACTTTCCACAATAGAGGCCCACCCCCACCATCCACAGGATACTGAATTATGCAAACAAAAATCCACAATAGTGCTCCATGACACTAATCGATAGCCAACATTGATAGCTTTGAAACAGAAAATGTGGATCGAAGACCAGATGTTTGGTGACTAGTTAGCATCTCACGCAGTCATCCTGAAGCATTGAGGTTGTCCCAGCTTTTGAGTGCAACTGATGAAGATGGAAGCAAGTTATCTTCACTGGAAGTTATCGACAATGTATTCACCTTGGTTTTTGCTGGCATTGACCCTCGCCAAGCAGGGCCTGTTTCCAGGGCCCCGCAGGGCGTGCAGCTGGCCCGTCTCGCCATTTCTGGTGATTAGGGGCTGATTTACTATGATTTACTTATTTACAAACTGAGACACCAAGCACCAGGTTCTCAGAATGGATCATGACATGCCAGCAGAACCCCATGATATCAGCTAGATTACTTGTGTCCGACTTCCATCTCCATGATATCCACAGAACACAGAATATTTTATATAATATATTTTATAGCCCAGGTCTATCCTAGTTGTATCCCTTGCTGAATGGGAGTCCCCTTAAAAATGTATGCTCTATGCATCCTGGAACTATCACAACCAAAATCGGATGGTGTCATCTATTTTTCCCCTGCATTCACACACAAATCGCCACATTTCAGATTGGTGAACTCTTATAATTTTTTAGTTCAATGTATCCTTATTCTATCCCCATGATATATCCGCATAATCTCCGCATACAATGGTGACAACTATTTTCTCATTTTTTCAGATTTCATGCTTTTGCATTCCAGATGGTGTGCCATAGTTGGCTAAGTTGGTTTATGATTCCAACAACTGTTGTTTTCTTGGCAGATATATCTGTGCTTAAGTGGGATTATAGATTATAAACCAAAAACAACTGGGGGCACCACTCTGTATGCATCTAAATGCAGCTGGTTAGTGACATTTGTGACATTTTCTTCTCAATTCTTATATATATATATATATCACATGCCAAAAAATATAAACCTATCATAAACCCATCTCAACGTAGCCAAGGACACCACCGCCAGTACCTTGAGCTCAGCACTTCTGAAACTCTCGCAGTCAGAGGATCTTCTGCAGCTGCTGCGAGAGAAGATCGCTGACGGAGAGGCCCAGAGATCCTTGGTGTCAACGAAGAAATTGGGGAACGATCCACGAACCGATCGCTATGACTTTGGGTATACTTTGGGCACCATCCGGGCACCAGGGTGAACTGACCAGCAACTAAGAAAAAGAATGATTGGATTGAAGTGACATAGGAGATTTGATCGAGGGACATGCATCATTTATAATTACTAGATGTGCAGATTGTTCAGCATTTCACCAACCGAAGAGCAAGATTTTCACCAAACACGAAGGGAGGCGAAGAAAACACACCGGGCGACCCAGGATCTTTGGAGATGTTTCTGACCGAGATTCTACGTACCAATCCACCGGCACCTTTCTCAATGCGCTTGGTACGGGAGCCCTTAGAAGCTGCGATGCAGGGACTGGTGGAAAATCTCTGGGTGTTTCTCTGGTGGAACCAAGAATCTGCCCGGAAGAATGGCAAGGAACAGGTGGACCAGAAGGGACCTGTCAAAATGTATTTCAAATCCAAAGATTTTGACGATGCTTTGCTATGGAAGATGATCAACATTGGTGGTTCCAAGTTTCGACGGCCTGAAACATTGATCCTTAGCCATCCGAAGCCAATGGCTTTGGGCCACTCTTTGGTAAATTGACAGTTTGCTATCGGAAATCAGCATGTCCAAAAACGGTATATAAATCACCATCGCATACTGTTAACTACTTCACTGGAGGGTAGGAAAAAAACACGAAATCCCAAAAGATCGACATGTTTCTTCGTTAACCCCCATGCGGTTAGAACCACCCAATCCCACAGACATGTCACGCGTTGCAAGGATCTGGGCAACGTCACCGTCCCGTCGGGCTACCTGTTGGTTTACGGCCTGGGGGCCAGTCTCTCTGATGCGTCGTGCTACGAAAATCCCGAGGAGTTGCTGATTCGGCAGGACGAGTGAGTCCTTGTTTTTTTGCCCCCCAGTTTGATGATGGGTTTATAGGATATGATATGTAGTATAAGCAAATGTCATTAAAAATGTTCATTAGAAGTATACAAGGTGGTGCCCCTCAGTTGTGTTTGTTGGTTTAAAATGTGTTAAAGAGACACCACTGACATGTCAAATAGTTCTACAATTACAATGTTCTATTATATATATATCATAAAAATCATAAACCCAACAGCGATTGAACCTGGGGTTATGTTTACCAACTTAAATTCCGAGCTGGGGCACCACCTACATAAACAATTATGGGACATTTCTTGGGGATACGTGGGGATTCTTCATGTGATTTAACTAACCACCAACAGTTTCTGCATCAAACGTGGATGGATGGTTGGATGGTTTAGGAGAACTAGTTTTTTTTGCTAAAATTGGGAACATTTACTTGGCACTCATCCCACTTAGTATGTAGGCTGCCTAGGCTATATTCCTAGGTATAAGTGTGGAAAAACCCTACTTATTCCACTTAGAACCAGGGAATACCATGGATATACAGTAACCTACTTAACAAATGGGATGAGCCAGCAAGTACTGAACAGCATTTCTTTTGCTGGTTTCTGGGGGCTATGAAACAACACATAATTAGCCGGATCCCTGTGTACCAGCCAGTACAGCGGAATGGGATAGGGTATGATATGTGTCCTGGTTCATGTGTAAATATTCATATATTTACAACTATGGGTGCTTTTTGTTTAGATCAACTAGATCAACCATACACAAGTGGGGTGTGTTCGTGGGCTCAACACAATATTCATAATATTTTTCCATTTTCATCACCAAAAGGTATATTCTGCATAGGTCAGTGATTGTGGCCGTTGTTGTTGTTGTTGTTGTTTTTTCCTGAGTAGATGCTAGCAGTTGTTTCACTACCTCCCTGGAACGCCAAAATTCAGCTTCAGCATCTCTTAAAGGGTGGGCCATTTTGCCATAGACTGGGCCTTAGGTTTCAATGGGAGCGCTTTGGGAACCAAAGCCTCACCGACTCTGGCGCCTTTGGCGGTGGCCCTCGCCTCTGTCCGGGCCGTTTCTTGGCGTCTGAAGCAGCGCAGCGCTTGCTGGCAGCAGTCCTGGCGAAAGACGGATTCTCATGGAAATTGAAGCAAGGGCAAGATCTGCGACAACAATATATTCCAGGACTATTTCCTGCGGATGGATTAATTGTAGATATATCTTAGACAAAAAATATTCTGAATTAATGCATGCAATGCAAATGTCAAGAATTAAATTTTGCAAGTAAAGCCCGCACACTGCCGCACATGGCGGGTAGCCGAAATTTCCGGTAGGAAGATAAATTCCTAGAGGAATCCAGGTGAGATGATTCTATTTGGAATTATTGTGGTATTTTACAGCTAACACAAGATGTTGCGCATTTAATTATTAAATCTTGATTATTTATAATATGATATAATATATTCTAGTGTTTAAATATGTTTCTTATATATTTCGATCATCTTAATACTCATAATAATATTATTGATATATTTTTTTTATGATTCTTAATTTTCTTAATATTTGAATTTGTTAATAATATTTATTAATTATATATGTTTTTAAAAATTTATTTTTTATATGTTATTTATTTTATTTTTATTATATATAATATATTTTATTATATTATGTATTTATAAAAAAAATAAAATATATTAAAATTTAAAACTATATAAATTTAATATATGTTTTTTTTAATTTATATATTCCGGGCTGAAAATGGATGGCGCAGATTTTTGCAATGCACCATCTATAGACCACTTGAGGGATGGGGTGTTTTGTGCTATCTATAGGTTCCCGACATACGTTCTTGAAAACAACATGTTTTCCTCTAGGTTAGTTTAAATTTA